TAATTCACTTATTAGGTCTCGACTGGAATATTGTGCATTAATCTGGTTTCCTATTTATGGTGTCCACATACAACAAATTGAAGCTGTTCAGAGAACATTTTTAAAGTTCGTCTGTTATTTAATCGATAATACTTATCTACCTAGAGGTTGTGATCTTCCTACTTTATTACGCAGGTTCAATTGTAATTTGTTAAATACTAGGCGCGTAATATTGACAATAAAATTTTTATACAATGTACTCAATAACCGTATTGACTGTCCATATTTGCTAAACAAAATTCGTTTCTTAATACCACGCATAAACTCCAGGCATACGTTAACGCTTTACCCGCCTTATTGTAGAACAAATATTTTAAGCAGATCGCCGTTGACCTTAATGTGCAATCACTTTAATTTGATCAGTAAAGTATGCGATGTAAATTTTGATTGTCTAAACCATATATGTAGAATTTTGTTAGATAGGTTAGAAAATTAAGCAGTTATTTGGAGTTATATAATGTTTGTTTATTTTTAAATCATTTTCTTTAATTTTTTCTTTTTTGCTGCACTAATGCTTAGGGAATAGGGTTGTTTATTGTTTTTCATTTAAATGTTTCCTGTAATTGATGGGTGTTTCTACCCATTGGAAACAAACACATTATTATTATTATTATTATTGTGATGACGTCACTTCAAAATTGTATTTTTATTGATCAAATTAAGAACGAGTCACCCCATTTTCCCGAAAATGTGAAAATACAAACGTATTTATTTAATAAGAACTATAGTAATGATATTCAGAACATTTTGTCGGTTGTAGCTAACTATTCAATAGTTTTGATGCTTTGTTTTGGGAGGACGAATTCATTGAAATCAAACTAATCTCGACGTGACATTCTTTCGATGTGTAAACAAATACTTTCAAGTTGTTTTTCTCATCGAGGATAACCTAAAGACGTACAGTAATGGAGTCCGTCCGGCAATTTGGGACTTTTGATATTTTCTCGATATTTCATAACCCCTAGACAAGGTTGTAGTTAGGGGAGGGGCTAGGGGATGCTGAGCCTCCCCTACAAATTAACTTAATCTGCATAATACAAATAAATCAATAAAAATAAATAAAATAAATATTCGAGTTTTATATAATAATAATAATTGTTCTATTTTTTCTGCTTGCCCACCCCTTGTCTTAGTTCCCTTATCTTTCGTACTTCTTTCATCCAGTCCAATCATCTTCCATCCTCGTTTAGCACTCCTTCCCTACTTTCCTCCGATTCTCTCAATCCTTCACATCCTTCCATCATATGCTCTATTGTTTCTCCCTCTCTCTAACATATCCTACACCTTCTGTCAGTTTCATCTATCCAAAAATTATTCTCTTTCTCTTCATTTCCACACCTAAATCTCCTTTATACCTACTCTTCTTCCTGTGTACTTTGATATTTCATTCTTTAGGGTAAATGTGTACAAGAGTACGCACTTAGTGTAAAACTGTCAACAACTTTTTAATTTTTTTGGATAGACAAATTTTATGGTATGGGTTCGTTATATACATGTTTAGAGATCAGATATATTTAATTGTACGTCCCAAGACCACTATATTTTAAGAGTAATTTCAATTTTTGTCAAGATGTGTAAATGCGCACTCTTAGACAGTTCATTCCACAAGAGTGCGCATTACATTTTATGAAAAAATATTTATTTCTAAGGTGAAAATAAATGGGAATAAGTGACTACAGACTACACATAAAACGGGAGACCTATTCATTCCTACTCAAGGGGTCTTGAAAAGTCGAGAAAACGTAAAAATAGAGAGTCGGTCGACGGACTCGATTACAACACACTCAGAAAGTAAAAATAAAAAAAAAAATCACCATAACCACCTCCACACAACTTGAGAAGCAGTACAAAGTAGTAGAGTTAAATAATTCATTATCGTATGATATGTATCTCCAAGACTATTAGATTACGTATTGCAAGCAATGCGCACTCTTATAGAATACCTCGCTGCGCACTCTTGTACATTTGTACATAACCTAATGTTTTCAAAGTTAAAAGCTTTTGATGGATAGAAAGTATAAAACTGTTAGTGTATAACGAGACCTTAAAAGTTACAGCTAATGAAAATTATTACTGTAAAATAAAACAACTGGTACGTACCTTACAAAAAACTAAAACTATGAGCGGTAAAAATTACATCCACACAACGTGTGAACATAAAATCGTCAGTACGACCAAACTATAAACTATATTCAGGTCACTTTTGCACCTTTATCTCAAGTTTTGCATTCAATTCTGAATGGTATAACTTCATCTTACTCAGATGGCCCTAATAAGCAGAAATCATCAGTGCGTACTCTTATACATATTCGCACTCTTGTACACATTTACCCTACTATTTTTCTATACTCTGCATTATATCTAGACTTCGATATTTTCGATCTACGTTCTTGCATATCTATATCCTTACCTCGTACACTCAGTTCTTCTTTCACACTCCTTCCCATTTCTCTCATTCTCTCTATTTCTTCACATGCATATCCCTTTCTTTCAAAATACTTGTCTCTTTCGTTCCAAATATCTTTTCCCCCTTCCTTTCTTATTTCTTTTCAACATTCTTGCAATATTCTACAATCACCTCTCTCACTAAACTTCTTTTCAAATCCAGCCGCCCTTTTACCCGCTTCCACTCTCATTTTCTCCCTTTTTATTTCTTCTCTCACTATATACCCCGGCGTAGACTTTTCCAATCCCAATGTCCATTTTAAGTATTTTTCTTGCACTCTCTCTATTTCTTCATATTCCCTCCATCCGCAAATCTCAGCTCCGTACACTTTTGATCAAACTATCAAACATCTTCTCTTATAATCATGTCCAAATTTTCTCTCTCCTATTCCCCATACTATTCCTATCACTTTGTTCGCTTTTCGGATCATTTCTTGAATATGCGCTCTATCTGAGTTATTGCTCTTTAATGTATATCGCAAAATCAAATCTTTTAATTTTTCGAAAGAGCTGGATTTGTCCAGTTGTACTTCATGGGCGAGAGAAGGTCTGTCGAAGTAATATTAGATCAATTTTTTTCTATATTTTCACATTAGTACGGAACGTGATCCCGTGGTTACAGTTATTGTATATATTTCGAAATCACCCTGTATATCAAAATCATATTCACCATGAGTCTGTTCAGAGATCATTTTTAAAATACATACTTAGAATAGATGGAGTTTATCCTTTACAAAGGTTTGACCACTCATTATTATTCAGATTCAATTTCTTGTCTCTTCAGACTAGAGGCATTACTATATCTGTAAAATTCTTGGTTAATCTAGTTCATACTAATGTCGATTGTAATTGTCAACCAGAGAAACTTAATTTCCTTGTACTTCGTTATAATTCACGTCAACTATTTTTATTTTATTGTCAAGTAAATAAAACTATTTTGCTGAGAAATTTCCTGTTAATTATATATGTATAAAAAATGTATAGTAGACGCTTTTGACTGCCTAGTTTTGATTTTCGGTAGTTACGTAATTTGAGTTTATGTTTCCCGTTGCATTAATTCATTTCTTACAATTGGGTGTAGAAACCCGTTGGAAATAAAAACATCAATATTATTATTAATTTTTTTTTTATTTTCTGAGTATACTCGTCACGACCCGTTACCGATTTTTTTTTGTACATCTATTTCAAAGACACCCTGTATAAAATCCCAATGTTCAAGAAACGATTATACACCCGATATATGTATAAATAGAATCTAATGGGAAGGGACATTTATTGACATTAAAACCCACTTTCAATCTTACGTTCATATAAGTAAGAAATTTCTTGAGAGATTTAAATTCATACTGTAATTACAATAGCAAACTTCAAATTATTTTTACACCGTATGCGTCCATTGAGGAATTAATTTAGTCTATAAACATAACACTTTTTCTACAATACGATGAAATATAAACGTATGGGTAGAACAGCTGCATTAGCTCCTGATGGCCCTAAACGGAACGAAACCACGGTTTTAACACAATAAATTTGTGCAAACCACACTGTGTTTTTGAAACTCCTAAGTTTATTGGTTTGCGAGATTTTGAATTAAATTTTAGTTAAAACCTTGGGTCTATAATGCTTGGGTCTATAATGCTATTCTCTTTTTAACTTTCGTATGACATCCGAGGTGAAAATTTTCAATAAAACAAATCGTGCTAACTACTTATTTGAAATATTGCCTTTTAATTTTATACCAAACACACTTCTCTTTAATTGCACGATTTATTCCCAACCATATTGTTAGATCTTTACGCCTAAAGTAAGTTTAATTTTCCCTAATTGGCGTCTAACCTTACGTCATCAACATCCTTTCTTCCGTCCCGACAATATAATACGGTTTTAATGATGTCCCGTAGGAATCAACATCCAGCGACGTCCGTCACATTAATCGGCTTGTAACATTCGCATTTTCCGATAATTTCGTGAAATATGAACCCGAGGATGAAATGTTTCTCTCAGTTTCCCCACCCTCTCGTTCCACGTAGAAACCGCCTCCTCGGAAAAATTCATAGGCGCTCTAACAAGTTTAAAAAGGTTCAATTTAAACTCGTTTCAAACTAGAGTCGGTGTCCTTTCAACTGACGAATTACTAAATTAAAGTCGTAATTTGATATTTACACTCTTTTCAACGACGGGACTGTACAGAAGACGCCATCTTAATGCAAATTACTTTGCTAACTTGATTAATTAGCGTTTAAGATGGTGGATGGTCCCTTGAGGTCGGTCAATTCTTACCTGAGGCAGTTCTAACTTTGCGCCAAACTTGCCAGAAAAATGTGCAAAGTCATCCGCGACGAACTTGCCTCGTTTCTAAAGCACAACGGATAATTTGCCATATTGAATAACAAAATAATAATAGTAATAAAGAAATTTTCATTCGTAAAAAGGTGCAGCCCATGTCGTTGTTTGTTGAATAAAAGACCCGATTTTGTTTATTTTAGAAATAATAGTTTCAGTATAAAAATGCTTACCTGAACGTTGAGATTTGTCTGCCGTCGCGATGCTCCCATTGGACGCCGCCGCTTTTTCTTCTTGTAATTTTCGCATTTGTTTCTTGTGTTTCATTCGTCGGTTTTGAAACCATGTTTTCACTTGGGTTTCGCTAAGGCTTAGAGCGCTAGCCAGTTCTACTCGCTCAGGGGTGGAGAGATAACGTTGTGCTGAAAATCGTTTTTCCAAACCTGAAACAAAAATACAACGTTGTCGATAACAAAACGTCACCTCTGTAACTCAAACATGGTATTATCCCCTCAACACCGAAAATTTCAAAAATTCAGAAATTTGCTCATGTTCGTGTTTGAAGTAGAATGAGTGAATGTGTAGGAGGTTATTTATTATGAGAAAAATTATTTCAGTTAGACAAACTTGTTTAAAAATTACCAGTTAGTTGAGGATCACTAAAGACAGTACGTGCTTTCCGGCGACGACAGTGTTTCAAGGCATTGAGGGATATTTCGCTGGCTGAACTTCCAAAAAGCGCGTGGTGGAATGGAAGACCTGAAAGAAAGTTTATTGTCAGTAAAATGCAAACAGTATTTTCATGACAAAAAAAGTAGAAAACAGTGCTTGTGTTTTAAGTGTCATTTTTCTTACTAGTATTTCTCACATTTCTGTCAAAGATGCGGGTAACTAAGTAGTTTCGGACACTCATTTTGTGAAAAAGAAATAATTCTTTGAAATTTTAAAAACTTAGAATTGCTAAACTAAAGTAGCAATTCCTTTTCAAACGATAGCCCTTCACACATATCCAATATTTTTTTGGAAAATAAAACAATGTAGAATTTTGTTATTTCATGACCCTAGTGTACGAAAAATAGGCCTCCCGTTTCCGTCCGACTGGCTGTCTGTCTGTCTGTCTGTCTGTCGTCTGTTCGGATTTTTATTAAACAGACAATCTCAACAAAATTTGGCTAATCATCCCCTCCAAAGTCGTCTCCAAAATCTGCATTAGTACCTAAATATTATTTAAATTATAATTATTAATATTACGATATGTATAACCATAAATGGCGAAATCAGATAGCTTACACGTTCGAGTACTCAGAAGCTGAATTTTAAATATCTTCGTGACCGACCAATTTCCATTCTAAAGCACGAGGAACATCTTATTTTAATGTTTGCAATAATTCTATGTTAACACTGTAGATCGGAACCCAGACAGAGTAATCAACATGAAATTTAATCAAAGTTTGAATTATTGTGGCTTCTTAATATATTAACTTAACCTCTAAAACTTTTTTTTTCACTTTCAGAATAACCTAAAAACCAACCCACTTTTACTAAAACAATACGAGTGTTCATACAAATTAAGTAAATTTGGTGCCTGATTCAAAAATTTTATATTCTAAATGACAAAAATTCAACTACTCCAAAATTAGAAAAAATAGTCAAAATTTTTAAACTTTTGAAACCCCATAAATCCCCTAAAATGTTAATAATTTATCTCATAAAGTCAGCTTATCTTAAAGTTTTCGACCGAATTTTGACGGGGTTTAGCAAAAATTGAGTTTCTAGAAAAGCTGCCTAAAAATCCTGAAAAAAATCTGCTGAATTCAAAAAACATATCTTGCCTGTCCCGGAACAAGATTCAAGTGAAATTCCGTAAAATTGGCTTTGAAAATGAAATTTTTCGGAAATCTCAAACTGAAATTTTTCTTTTAACTATCCCAGAAAAATGTTTTGATTTTTTGAAGGAATATAGCCAAAAATCACTTCTACAAGTTGAAATCAACAAGAAGATGGTTTTAAGTAATGGAAAAACGATTAAAAAATTCTACAGGTTGAAAAAAGTGACTTACTGAAAAGCTTCCTACCATGACAATGTGTGGGTATTTTTTTTAAATTTAGGTTTTTGAAAAGTTGCCTGAACGTCCTCAAAAAATTCTAGGAAATACATTTTGACTTGATTTTAAGTTGATTCGAAAAACATAACTTTGGTGGTTCTGAATCATGATTTTCGATAAACTCGGTTTAGAGTTATTTTTTTAAATATAAAAAAAAATTGTAGTCCTTTGTTTGTTTCCGTTTTCTTTAGCTCTAATCGAAATAAACGCACGCGATCGCGGAGGCGGAGCTACGGGACCACACCTTCGAATCGAAAGCTCTCCTTGCCATTTTCATGTGAATGTTAATCTGCAATACCGGATTTCCAAGTGAATCAGGATATCTAGTTGGCTGCGTCTTTGCGGGGATGGAAATAGGTCTTAAAATATGAGTGCGAGTTGTACCTAGGTGTTTGTTTCATTCAGTCTACACAAAGAGAACAACAAAGATATTTGTTGTTCAATTAGGAAAAATTGGCTTATTTAAAAATTCAGATCCGGACTGCAATTTGCACAAAATTTTTAGTCACTTTGCCTTAATACACGGGAAACAAATTTAACAAATATGTATACAGGGTGATTAAATTTGCAAATTGTCAGTTTTCTCATATTTTTCACGTAGAATACCTCTATTTTCTTACAGGGTACGTTATTTGCCAAAACCAGTCTTATTTTTGCAAGTATTAGCCCCCCCCACCCACCCTCTATTTTCTTCAGAATTTATGTAGTTTGCCGAAATCAGTCTTATCTTAGCAGGAACTACATATAATTAAATTTTATAAAATAAGATGCTCCTAAACTGTGCCTTATGAATCCGTGTTGACTCTTTTCCTTAGACATCCAATTTTTTGGAAAAAAATCAAAATTACATAACAACATTTTGCAATTTAATTTTGAAACTGCAAAACCGAATGCTCTAAGATCCTGTAAATGTTTTAAGGTAACATTGAAATTGCGAAACTGAACTCTCCGAAATTTTCCAAATGTTTTATGACTACTTATAGGAAACATGATAAATCGTCAATCAAAATTTTTTCGTTTATGGCCTCCCCAAAAATGATGACGAATAAATGCTCTTTAAATTTTATAAAATAACGTACTCCTGCGTGTGTGACTCATGAATCCGGGTTGAGTTTTTACCTTTGGCATCCATATTTTTGGAAAAAAAATCAAAATTTTATAACATTTTACAATTTAACTTTAATATTGCAAAAACCGAATGCTGTAAAATATTGCAAATATTTTAAGCTTAAAGTTAATCAAAATTTGTCCGTTGTCTCACAGTTTCGCCAAATAAGACTTCTCCAAATTTATAAATGTTTTTGAGAAAAAACTGAGTGCGGCTAATTTCATTTTTTTTTAAATCTCTGCTGCTTATACTCGAATTGTGCTAATAGTCGAACTATAAACAAAAACAGTCAAAAGTGTCCAAGTTAAGCATCATCCACCAAGAAATTGAAAATATATAATTTTTTAAAAATATCTAATTTTTTTTTATAATTTGACATTTATGGGTGCTCAAAAAATGGAGTACTAATTCAACGGTACTTTATTAAGTTCGGGAAAAATCGTCAAAAAATTCGTCAATTTGACATTCATTTACAAAAACAAAATATTGATTTAGATAGATAGATCAATCATCCTTTTATTACATTATAAAATTAAGAAAACAATTGGAATAATTTTGAATAATGAAAGTGCCATCAATTTCATCTACTCGACATAAAGTAGTGAATTAAAATAAGGTGAAGTTTTAAAAAAATCAACTAAATTTTGAGCGTGTCAGACCAACTCTAGAGCCATTTTTTGAACACCCTGTATCTTTCTAGAAAATTTTTAGTTAGTAAAAAAAATCTAAAGGCTCATTTTCTGGAGAAAATAATTCGTAACTATGTGGTTCTAAACTAAACTTCTGTGTATTGCGTATCATAACATAATTCTCTAACTTTCTGCTTAATAAGATTTCGCAGACATGTACGTCAGGCAACAATGACCGCTGACCTAGGCCTTGAAGTAGATTCATACATTTCTAACTAGTTAGTTTTTATTTAACTCGGAGGTTAATTTATACCGTATTTAAGATATTTCTTTTTGCTTAGTTTAGACATAACAGTAGCAATAAAGCGGTTATTATTTTTATTATTAATACTGACACTGCTTTCGATTTGTCCCTCCATTTGGTTCAGAATAAAATAAAAAAAATATATTTGAAAATGTATTTGAGAAAGTCAACTTGTTTAACATTATAAGACCCTAACATTGTTATAGCAAAAAATTGTTTTTTGAAAATTACTGAAAAGTTGCAAAGAATATCCAAAAAATAATGGATGTATGAATTATCATTATCACATAATGACATTAAAATGTCAATAATAGAATTCTAGAGCTTAGATACTTACTACATAAATTGTACTGTAAAAATTTTACATGTAAAATTATGTACATTGATTGTCTCCACACCCAAAGACAATTTAAAAATTTTCCACAGCGAAAAAAAGTTCAAAATTAAATGCCCTTGATAACTAAAGATTAATTGATGTAGATCCGCTATCCATAGAAGCACTTTTTATAATAATAATAGTAATATATCCTTATTTAATAAAAGGAAAAAACAAATTCAACAACAAAAAAATCATGTAAATACATAGGTATATTGTAAAAATTAAACTCACTAATTTTATTGTTACCTTCACAATTACCCAAAAGACGAAGATCTGTTCTGACAATTTTTCAACCTAGCCTGACGAAATAAAGTATTTTGACAATGAAATAAAGAAATTAAATTAGAAAAATTAAATGTTAGTTTGTTGTTTCCGTCTGTCTGTCTGTCTGTCTGTCTGACGTCTGTATCAATTTTTATTAGACACAAACTTTGGGTCGATTATTGTAAAATTTTGTACCTATATTAGGAACAATGGTTAGGTGGTTAAATGCTAACCAAAATTTGCTTAATCATCCCCGCCAACAACTTGATGACGTCATTACAATATAATAAAATGTTACCACCAATATTTTTCTTTTGACTGGACTGGAAGATATTAAAGAAATGTGAATTAGAATATAACTTAGTTGACACTAATCTTGTTACCGTAAAATGTCGTATTTTACTTTTCTATGGTCAGTATTGACTAAGTGATTTTTCCAAACAGGGATTTCAGTTTAGAGTTTTTCTAAAATGTTTGAACAAAAAGGAGAAGAGTATTTTCCTTCCCCTTCACCAGAAATTACGGAACTAGCAAGTAAAACGACATTAGAAAATATGTAATGAAGAAATTTAAGAAATACCTGTAAAAGGGAAAAACCTAACTTAATAATTAGATTTATTACCAAAAAAGATTAGTTAGTTTTACTGATTTATTTCGCATCTTTATTCTCCAAACAAAATAAATCGTATACGGTGTGATCTTAGAAATATTCCATGATCAAAGATGTGTTACACATAAAGCTCACCGTTGATATATCAAAAGACGCATGTGTTTTGAAATGCATATACCATTATCCCTCAAGAAATAGCCATCAAAAATTTACAGGACACTGTTTCCGAAGAAGTTCGACCATAATATTGTAGATACCGGAGACGAGATTTGATGGCGTTAAAACGTCGTGGAGACAAGCAATAAGATAGACAAAGCAAATACAAATTTTAAATCAACATCAACTTTTGATATGAATTCAAAAAATACTTTTCGGAATAGTACAAAAAATTAATTTTGAGTCCGCGTTTTCACACAGAATTTTCCTCGCCCTTGAAAAATCCCACCTTAACTTGACACTTTGGCTGTTTATGGTTCAAAAGAATTCGATTAATAGCACGTTCAGATTACAAACAGCAGGGATTAAAAGAAAATGAAATTTGTTTAATTTTTCAAAACACAAAATTTGGAAAAATTTTAGCATGACGAACAAATTTTGATTAACGATTTACCACGTTTGCAATACCCTTAAAATATTTGCAAGATTTCACAGCTTCGGTTTTTGCAATCTCAAAACTAAATTGTAAAATGTTGTTATACAATTTTGATTTTTTTTCCAACAAAATGAATTCCAAGGGTAAAACAAATAAATTGTAAATAATGATCTATCGTGTTTCCCATAACCTTACAATGTTTGCAAAATTTCAGAGCTTTCGGATTTGCAATTTCAAAGTTAAATTTTAAAATACAATTTTGAATTTTTTTCCAAAAATCTGGATGTCTAGAGTAAAAACTCAACACAGAATCATAAACGACATGTTCAGGGATATCTTATTTTATAAAATTTAAATAATATATTTTTTAATCTCAATTTCGGAGGTGACGTCATTTTATGGATATTTCTAACACACATTTAAAACTTCCCAACAATCGGTCAAGTAGTTTCGGATATTAACTGTCTAATAAAAATCCATACAGACGACAGACAGACAGACAGACGGAAAGGCGAGACCTATCTATTTTTGCGTACTCCAGGAGTCATGAAATGTCGAGAAAATGTAAAACTACCCAGTCGTCCAATGGATTCAATTACAATACTTCCTTAGCTCACGCTCAGGAACTAAAAATGTAAATTTCTTGTGGCTTGCAGAAAGTTGAGAAAATTTGATATTAGTCTTTTCAGTGAATTGACTAGTAGGTATAATTCAAATTCTGAAAATTTTCTGGAAGGACAGCTACTGTCACTGTCGAATAAAAAATATGTTGAAACTCAAAAAAGATATACTTAGGTATACCATAGTGCTTTATCACGTATCTAGTAGGTGAAATAGACAGACCTCTGTAAAGGATTTTTAAAATAATAACTTTATTTTTATTGCCAAGTCTTTTTTGAGGAATATGTAATATTTTTCAACAAATATTATCATTGCTGTATCAATAAAATACATATTGTGTGCTACAACTACAGATGAGAAAGGTTAATTTTTACAGTGTGTAAAATTGTTTGCATTATTTTTTCATGTTTTTTATTTATTGTAAATGAATTCTTAATAATGATATTGCTTTTATAATTACACCAACATTTACATGAAATTACCATTTACGATTTATTTTCAAGGGTTTCCCGCTTTTTAAATTATTATTTCCTAAACCAGTAGACAAAATAATCTAAACAACACAACCTACCTTGTGCCAAAAAGTATGGGTCCGTCACAGTTTTGTAAGGCGTCCCAAGGTAAGCCCCCAAGGCACCCATGACCTGTATATACCCATTATCAGGTCCTTGAAACGCTTGCACACAACTATTTTGCACCGGTTGAAAGTACCCATAAGCACTTTTTTCAACTCTTTTATCAGCAATCTTCGGCTGTTGAAACACTTTGTCGTCTTTCACTCTAAACCCATCTTCTGCATCGTTTTGTTCCTCTTCCGCCTTCTGCCTGTACAAAATATCTTCAATCAAAAACGACGTCCTGTTCTGCTGGTGCTGCGACTCGAAGTCCTTCCCTCTGAAGTTGTTCATCATCGGAATTTGCAAAAATATTCCAACGGCTTCAAATAATCTGCATAATTTTCAACTACGGTTTTGGTGTTGTAAGGCGTAATAAATCAGTGAACTCCACTTAACTCCTTCGCCATAAGCAAATTGAAATTCACTCAACTTAGTAAACAGTTGAAACTTCACATCAGAGAGATTACTTTATCAAAATTAAATATCGCGCTCCATCCGGGGCCGCAAACAATTGCAATCTGTGCCGATCAGAGCTGCCCTCCATCAAAACAGTTCCGCCTTCGCAGCAGCGCCGTTTTCAACCCTTAATGCCCGGAAATCAGTTTTGAGCCGAAACCACCCTTATAGTTATACCGAGGATAATACGATGTGATGAGATTGATTGGAGCTAATTGTGTTCTGCTCTAAGTTAATTACGGTGCTATTGCTATTGTAGGGGCGGGGGAAGCGAGGGGGGCCGATTTAGGTGGCGGATTTCACGCAAGTGGGAGGTTAGGGGGCGAATGAATGCTTCGTTTACCTGTTTTGTGATACACGTTTATCCGACTCAAAGTAGAATAATTGTTTCTTCGTTATTACAACATATACTTACGTACATTTATTGAAATATGTACGGTTTCTTGTTTTGAGTCTTTTGTCTAATAGGAGCTGGAATTCGAAGATTTGTATAGAAAAATTCACCTGGAGACTTGCAGGTATACTTCGTTTACCGAACAGATGGAGTTGTAGAAATACGTAATCTTTTAAAATCGAATTTGGCGACCGTTTTCACACAACAACAGACACTGTTTCAATCAAAATTATTTATTATGAATAAATTATAAAACAAAAAATTGTAGTTAGTTCTCGGAATAATAGAACTATGTTAATAAAGTGATTTTAGCCGGTGTTCCTAATCATTAAATCACCGGTATGATACTATTAGAATTTCAAAGAATGTGTATTCCAAAACAAGTTTTCAAGATAGCTCTAAATTTAGCCTGTAGTAATTATGAAAAAGCTTGTTCACAGAACTTTGTTCAAAGAGACGACACAGAAGAAATTATTAACTTTGAGAGAGTTGGATACCCGGCCGAAGTCGACAAAACTGAATAATCGACATTGATTCTGATGAAGTGGATGATTTATATATGAATACAAGATATTTTACATTTCCCATGATGCACTTTTACACTTTACTAATATATACCTAAATGTAATGTGCATGAGGTTAATTCCGTTTTTCCTTCTTTTCTTTAAAAGGGAATAAAATTTGAATTGTTTCTCTGTAAACAACAAAGTTTTTATTGAACAACTTAATCTAATTATTATTAATCCTACCTGTAAACAACAAAGAAACAACATTCAATGTTATTAACTATTCATAATCTTTTACATTATTACATGAAATCTGGCTTGCTTCGTCACTCATTGCCACATGCAATAATTAATCATACCATTCAGAGATCTAACTTACCGACCTAATTGGTCGTTAGATTCAATAAGAGTAAGGATACTTAATCCTTATCCTTACATCTCCCCCCCTAAGATACAAATTTTGGTACAAAAGTTTTGGTACAAATTATAATACATAAGCAAAAGCAATTAATAGCTAAGTGCCTGTGGTGGTTCCATCCTTTCAAGTACTTGGAGTAGGAATGAGTTTGGAGATATGAAACAAATTTGATTCTGATTTTCTATGCGTGGTATCTATTTCGTATACAGAATTTGATATTTTCCTTAGGATTTTGTAAGGTCCAATTCTTAATACATCTATTTTTTTTTTCGGTTCAGTCGGTTACCATTTTCAACATATACTAGTTCTCCGACCTTGAAGTTATAATCTATCCTATATTTTTGTCATACAGTTTTTTATTGTAGTCATGATTTATTTTACTGTTTTCAAAGGCAATTGCTCTATCGTTCTCTAGATCATTACTATCTTTCTTTTTTTCAATTCCTCTGGTATTACTGATGTATCTTTACTTAGTAACAAATATTTTGAACTAAACCCTGTTACTGTATGCTCAGTTTCATTGTATTTATTTACACAGTTATGTGCTATGCTTGTCCATGCACATTTGTTCTTTTTTTCTTCATTTATTACACATCTAGTTTTATTTACTAAAATTTGATTGAGTCTTTCATTCAAACCATTCGAGAATGGTGCGTTAACTGCTGTAAAGATCATTGTGATATTTTTTTCTTCTAGGAAATTTTTAAAATCTTTAGAATTTATGCCTGGGTATTGGTCAGTTAGAAGTATTTCGATGTTATGGTTTCTTAGCACATTTTCTGTCAGTTTAATGAAATCCTTCGCACTTTGTGTCTTTGAAGTTACTATGTATGCAAATCTAGTAAAATGATCTACTAGAAGGTGTAAGTAATTTTAGTGGATCGTGAACCACCGAATCCCCCGATTGTATCTATGAAAACCACTTCAAACGACTTTTTTGCAGGACCGAGATGTGGCATTAGACCAATTTTGCTATGTCTTCTTGATTTATTTTGTATCCAAATTTCGCAATGTTTGCAAGCTTTTTCGATATTTTTTGATATATCTTCTGCCGTATAGTAAGGTAGTATTTTGTTTTGCATTTGTTTTATGCCTATGTGTCAAAATTCCTTATGGATATTTTTTATAAGTTGTTTACAAAACTCTTCTGATAATACAATTTTCTTCTTCTTCCTTTCTTTGCTATAATCTATATTATCTTCAAATATTAGATTATTTTTATTATTTGTTAAATTTTCGTTACTCTCTTGGTCTTATATCATATCCTCTATTTTTATTAGATTGACAATTTTTAATTTATCTTCTTCGTCTTCTTGAGGCTCCAAAACTGGGTTTCTGCTTAAGGAGTCTGCTTCCAAGTTATCTCTGCCTGGGAAATATATTATTTTCATGTCATATTGTGATAAGTAGAACGTGAGATCCCCTAATTCTTCGTCCGTTCTAGCTTTAATATTCATTTTTTCTAATGGCTTATGATCCAAAAACACTTTGAAGTGTTTTCCTATGAGCAAGTGTTGCCAATACTGTGCTGCTTCTTTTATTGCTAGGCATTCTAGGTAAATAGCTTCCTTTCTTTTCTGAGATTCATTAAGTTTCTTGGAGAAGTATGCTACTGGTTTTTCTATTTCCGAATTATTATTTAGTTGTGGTTGTTTCATCACAGCTGCTGTACCTTGTAAACTTGCATCTGTGTAAATGTGTATTGGTAATTCCGGATCAAAAATAGCTAAGACCGGCTGCTGGCAGAGGAAATTCTTCATATATTCAAGAGCTTTTTGACATTCTGTAGACCGCAGGTGAATTTTTGACCTTTTCTTAATAACATATGTAGTGGTTCCAGAATAATAGAAATTTTCGGTACATATTCATTATAAAAATTTATCTTCCCCAAGAATTGTCGAACATTTTGCTGATTTCTTGGAACCGGAAAATTTCGTATTGAAATCAAATTATCCTTTAGGGGAGAAATTGAATTGTATCTTATTACATGTCCTAAATATTGTACGGAATCCAAGGCAAAGGTACATTTAGAAAGTTTTAATCGGAAACCTTCATTCATTATTGCTTCTAGTAATTGCGACAAATGATTAATGTGTTCTTCGAAGGTTTTTGAAAAAATCAGTATGTCGTCTATATAGTTGACTGCAAAATCTGATAATTTATGTTTTCTTATTATGTTACTTAATATTCTTTGAAATATAGCTGATAACGTTTTTAGTCCAAATGGTAGACAGGTCCATTGAAAGTGACCTTCTTGGGTTACAAATCCAGTTTTTCGTCTGTCTTCTACCCTTAAAGGAATGGACCAAAACGCTGAGTTTATGTCAAGTTTCGAAAAGTATCTGCACTTTCTTGTTTTTATTACTAGATCTTCGATTATTCAGGTCTCTGAAATCTATACATAATCTTGATTTTTTGTTTTCATCTTTTTTATAAGCTAATGTTCCTGGGGCTGCAAAAGGGCTGTATGATTCTTCGATTAAATCTCTCTTGAGTAGTTTAGAAATTTGTTCCTCTATATTTCCTTTTTGTCTACAATTGTGCATCTATATGGTCTCTTACTGAAATATTTATCTACTATGAGATCTATTCTGGCTTCGTAATCTTTACTGTCCCTATATCGTATTTGTCTTTTGCAAATATATTTTTATATTTCTCTATAAGATTTTTTATCATTTTTTCTTCATGATGGTTCAATAGATTTGTCAAGATTTCAAAGTTTTCTTGATCTACATGTTCATTGATGTTTATTTGATATCTTTCTTGTTTTTCTTCGAAATCATTAGTTTTCTGTTTTATTTTCAGTTTTTCATTTTGTATCAGTTTGAATTTTTTTATACAATCTAATCCAACTAGAAAGTCATGTTTAAAATTTTCATTATTTATTGTGAATACATCTATCTTTTCTTCTATATTTAATATTTTTACTTTTAATGTTGTCATTCCATCTGATTTATATACACACCATTAATTGTCTTCAAGTTAATCTTTTGCATCGTGTTGTGTTCAGTCTACCTGAACAAGGGTTTGGGCGTATACAAGTCGTCCACCCTACCCCACCCGTATTAGGGTACTTCGACCGAATTTTGTGGCGATTCACGTCTAACCCGTCGACGAGGCCGCCTCGACATCGGTACGCCTCCGAAGCCGGCATTTCATATTTGTGCGAAGTTAAATAAATTATTGTATAAGCTCCGATCGAGTTTTGATTTCGCGCTACATTTTGGTCCTTCGAGCCGGATTTCGGAGTAATAAATCGAAAGTGCCAGTGTTAGTCAAAATAAGTGCCTTCGTCGCCCGTGAATCAACTCTACGACTAGTGCACCTTAAGCATCGTGGACTTCACCACGTCAGCACTACGCCTAGGGCATCCTTAAGTACGTGGACTTCCCGACGTCAACCGTCGTCTCCACATCGTGAACATCCTCATCAACACTACGGCTGGGGCATCTTAAGCATCGTGGACTTCACCACGTCAACCGACAGCTCCACCGTGGACATCGTCATCAGCTTCACGACCAGGGCATCTCCAGGCGCCGTTGACGACATCATCAGCTTCACAAAATACGTAAACCCTTTCCTTATTTATTAGCTTGAGATATTGTTTGTCGAACGTCATAGGTAACAATGTCGATGGAAGAATTGTCTGCGTTAAACAAATCACGGGGAGCTGTTAAGCGCAAATTAACGCTCACCCAAAATGCGGTTGCGGAATTTAACAAAGGCTCCGACAAATCTTTAGCGGAAATTGAGGACCGTTTGCGTAGGCTTGAACCTCTTTACGATGAATTTATCAATATTCAATGTCAAATAGAAGAATTAGAAACGTCTCTCAATCTGCCTTCTAGCACAGAGCAAGCCACGGCGTTTTCCAAAGATTATTACAGCGTCTTTCGCGAATTGCGTAATTTAGAAGGTAAATGCCGGTCCACGTCTACCCCGCATTCAAGTTCGATCAATCAGCGGCCCATTTCAAATGGGAACCAATGCATTCCGGTGAAGCTACCAGAATTAGCATTGCCAACATTTGATGGTTCATATGCCGAGTGGACTTCTTTCCGTGACACTTTTTCAGCTTTGGTAGATGATAACGCGAATTTATCAGACGTTCACAAATTTCATTACTTAAAATCGTGCCTAAAGGGTAAGGCAGTTAAGGTAATTGAATCGCTCAAGGTCACGGCGGATAATTATGCATCAGCTTGGACGATCTTGCAAAACCGTTTCGATAACAAAAGACTGATAGTTCAGGACCACGTTTACGGTATCTTAAACTTTCCGAATATCAACAAGGCTTCACACACTGAATTGCGTAAATTATTAGACACTATGTGTAGCCATTTAGAAGCACTCGCGGTGCACCAAATCACTCCGGAGAGATTTTGCGACATTATTTTAATTTCAATTATTTCCGAGAAATTGGATTACACTTCGAAAAGGGAATGGCAAAGTAAATTAACGTCAGAGTTACCAACATGGGATGAACTGAAACATTTCTTAGAAAAACGCTCCGAAATGCTCGAAACATTGGGCCTTATGTCCGGTAAGGCGTCAAATAATTACGAAAATAATTTAAAGAGAGTACCCAATAAAATAGTAGCAAGCGTGTCAACGGGTAAAAAGACGAACGTAAATATTAACAGATCATTTAGTTGCCCTCATTGTTCGGAAAACCATTACTTATATCATTGTCCGACATTTCTAAATTTGTCCACATCCGACAGACTAAATTTCGTACAGGCAAGGAATTCGTGTGTTAATTGCTTTCGTGATCATGATTTGTCCAATTGTAAATCCGAGAATCGATGTAGAATTTGCAACCAGAACCATAACACCCTCTTGCATCAGAATCAGCCGGAATCAAATCCGTTGTCGTATGACGATATTGATCAACAACCCGCCGTATTCAAACTAAATACCAGCCAATCACATTTCAGTGGGATTATATTGCCTACAGCTCAGGTACAAATATGTGACAACTTGGGTAGAAAACATATCGTCAGGGCACTTTTAGACAGTGGCTCTGAATTAAATTTCATTTCCGAACGTCTCGCAAGGTTGTTAAAACTTAAGTCACAACCAATTGTTATGTCAATTTCTGGCGTTAATCACTGCACAACAAATGCGTCAAAACGAACTAATGCCCAAATTTTCTCCAATTGCACAACGTTCCATTTTAACTTATCCTGCGTTATTATACATAAGATATCAGAATGTTTACCATCAAATTCGTTTTCAACAGCTAACCTGAAATTTCCTAATCACATTGAGTTGGCAGATCCCAGCTTTCATGTAAAAGGTGAAATCGACCTATTAATTGGGGCTCAATTGTTCTTTGAATTACTGGAACCAAACCAGGTGTATTTAAATGAAAACTTTCTCTTGCAAGAAACGAAACTCGGGTACGTTGTAGTTAATTCCGTTTCAAGCACCCCAAGTGTCGTAAATCGCGGCACTTGTCATTATATTCAACCCACCCTCGAACAGCTCGTCGGTAAATTTTGGGAACTAGATAATTTTCAGAATTCGATTGTTCAAACAGCTGACGAGGTTTTGTGTGAAAGGATTTTTATGGAGGGTCATAAACGTTTGCGAGACGGGAGGTACTCGGTCCCTTTACCATTTCAACAAAATGCGGATCTAGGTACGTCCAAGAGTAGGGCCATTAAAAGATTGAAATCTTTGGAATCCAAGTTCCGCAAGGACAGGGATTTCAAAGACGGTTATTCAAGGGTAATTTCTGACTACTTACAGCAAGGTCATGCCGAGCAGGTACCTGAAGACCAAATTGAAAACCCTCAAACTTTTTATTTACCCCATCACGGTGTCACAAAGGAAAGCAGTAATACGACCAAATTACGAGTTGTTTTTGACGCTTCCGCAAAGTCATCTAATCATAAGAGTTTAAACGACGTGTTACTGATTGGACCAAACATCCAATCGAATTTATATTCAATTTTGCTACGGTTTAGACAACATAAAATCGCGGTCACAGCAGACATTTCACAAATGTACAGACAGATTCTGGTACACCCGGAACATCACGATTACCAACGATTCTTATGGCGATTCGAAGAAAATGCACCAATTGAGACATACAGGCTTAAAACGGTCACTTTCGGTGTTGCGCCAGCGCCATTTTTAGCTATCAGAACGTTGCATCAACTATCACTTGATGAAAAACATAATTTTCCGAATGCATACGATCAAATTAGAAATAACATGTACGTGGATGATCTAATCACCGGCGCTAATACCGTTGAGGAGGTGTTGAACATAAAAACAGAAATATCACAGTGCTTGCAAAAGGGCGGATTTCAACTTCGAAAGTGGGCTTCGAATAATCCATCATTATTGCCAAATACGTCTGCTCACTCCGCGGAAATTAATTTAGATAAGGAGGGCCTATCTAAGACACTCGGAGTTATTTGGAACTGCATTTCTGATCACATTAAATATAGTATCAATTTAACAAGCATTAAGACAGCAGCATCAAAAAGGAGTGTATTATCAACAATTGCGCAACTGTTTGATCCCTTAGGCTTAGTTGCCCCAGTTGTGGTTACTGCCAAAATTATTCTTCAGCAACTGTGGACGTTGAAGTTAGACTGGGACGATAGGTTACCGGCCAATTTAGAAGAGCGGTGGAATAGTTTTTTATATTCACTGGCTGACTTAAATAAAATAATAATTCCTCGCTGCGTGATACCGGTTGAAGACGCCGCTCACATACAATTACACGGGTTTTGCGACGCCTCCCAATTAGCTTACGGGGCTTGTATTTATATTAGGTCCTACAACGAACGTGGTGAAATTCACGTTCAGTTACTTACGGCTAAATCTCGAATAGCTCCATTGAAAACTCAGACACTACCCAGATTGGAATTATGTGGTGCAGTTTTGTTAGCAGAGTTATCAGAGCAAGTTAAGCACAGTCTAAGTTGTCAGATTCAAGGTGAATTTTACTACACCGACTCAACTATTGTTTTAAGCTGGCTAGCGGCTACACCAAATACTTGGACAACATTTGTTGCCAACCGTGTTTCTAGAATTCAATCGCTGACTAAGATTGAAACCTGGAAACACGTATCGTCAATTTCCAATCCTGCGGATGTTATCTCTCGCGGTTGCAGTCCCGAGCAATTAATGAAAAACTCATTATGGTTAAGTGGTCCAACATTTTTGTGGCAACCTACTACTAACCACTCAAGTAGCTTAAAAAATTATGTAAATCCGTCAGAAACGGAAGAACGACGTAAGGTCGTTTGCACAAAGGTCACAAAATCTGAGTCCAAATGCGATTTACTATCACGGTATTCTTCGTTCTCCAAATTAGTTAATGTTATTGCTTGGTGCTTACGATTTCATAATAACGTCAAATCTAGTCAAAAACTAACAGGATCGTTGTCTGCCTACGAACTGCGAAACAGTCGAATGATTATTATTCGTTTAGTTCAGCGGGAATCATTCTTCAATGAATTTGATAACCTCAGCAATTATAAATCATTACCCAAGTCAAGTCCTTTGATCAAACTTAATCCATTTCTAGACGAAAACGCACTTATCCGCGTAGGTGGAAGATTGGTGAATGCAAACATTTTTTATGATAAAAAATTTCCCATTGTCCTTCCGAAGGATCATTACATAACACACTTGATTATAGAATGCGAGCATTTACGACAACTACACGCGGGTCCCCAAGCCACTTTAACAGCTGTCAGGCAAACATATTGGCCCTTAGGCGGTCGTAGTACCATCAGAAAGGTTTTACATAAATGCGCTCGTTGTCGACGAGCAAATCCTATTTTCTATCAAGAGATCATGGCCAATCTACCTGAAGCTAGGGTTAATCTTGTGCGTCCCTTTCTTACCTGCGGTGTTGATTATGCTGGGCCCATGTTAATTAGAGAGGGAAGGGGTCGCGGAAAGAGGTCCATTAAAGCGTACGTTTGTCTGTTTATTTGCCTATCTACCAAAGCGATTCACCTGGAATTGGTCACTGATTGCACTTCGTCAGCGTTCATAGGGGCCTTCAAGAGGTTTATATCTCGCAGAGGTAAACCGTCGACCATTTATTCAGATAACGCAACAACGTTTAAGGGTAGCAACCGGGAATTACGTTTCATCCATCAGGACATCATAAAATCAGAGTCTTTTCGAAAATTTATCGGAGATTGTGCGGGGGACAATATTGAATGGCGTTTCATACCTCCTCGATCGCCACATGTCGGTGGCATTTGGGAGGCTGGTATCAAGTCTATGAAATTTCACCTGAAGAGAGTTGTCGGTCAATCATTGTTCACCTATGAAGAGATGTACACTTATCTCACGTTGATAGAGGCTTGCCTGAATTCCCGTCCTATTACCCCATTATCCTCGAGTCCTGACGATTTAACGGCCATAACACCAGGTCATTTTTTAATCGGATCTGCTTTAACAGCTCCAGCTGAACATGACCTGAGTACCGTCAACATTCATCGTCTGGATCAGTGGCAAAAGATCCAGCAACTGCGCCATCATTTTTGGAAGAGGTGGTCCCGAGAGTACCTCCTGGAGTTACAGCAGCGTTCCAAATGGGCTACGTCAGCGCGGCCAGCTGCCGTGGGTGACATCGTTATCATCCACTAGGACCATGTACCTCCGCTATGTTGGACTTTAGGTCGCATCGAAATCACGCATCCAGGGCGTGATGGCAGGGTGCGAACGGTGTCAGTGCGAACCAAAAACGGTATAATTCAACGATCAGTGCATAAACTATGCCCTTTGCTAAGTTGAACCAATCATTATTGTAAATATATTATATCATTATTGTAAATATATTATATCATAGGATCTTAAGCATGTATTGTGTATATCTTAAGTCATTTATGTAACTTTATTGTTCTTTTTTTTTTAATTATATTGTACTTTGAAGTTAACGCTTCAACGGGGGGACTATGTTCAGTCTACCTGAACAAGGGTTTGGGCGTATACAAGTCGTCCACCCTACCCCACCCGTATTAGGGTACTTCGACCGAATTTTGTGGCGATTCACGTCTAACCCGTCGACGAGGCCGCCTCGACATCGGTACGCCTCCGAAGCCGGCATTTCATATTTGTGCGAAGTTAAATAAATTATTGTATAAGCTCCGATCGAGTTTTGATTTCGCGCTACATGTTGCCCTTTTTTGGTTTCAAACGTATTAGTTTTGAATTTATCAATGAGACATTTGAGCCTGCGTCATAAATAGCAGATACTTCTAAGATGTCGTTAAGTTTTACCTTGACACTAATTAATGGTGGAACTATTAGTTTTTTGGATCATTATTACTCACTTCTACTTCTAATATAGAATTGTTTAATTGTTTTGTAGGGAATTAGTAGGTACTTAATAAACTATATCGTTACTTTAAATTAATTTTACATCAGCGACCACAAACGTAAAACTTCTTAAACACTCGTTATAATCCACGAAAACGTAAAAAGTATGTTCTTACTTCCGTACTTCAGTTAGATCAAATTAAAATTTTAAATCCACGCTTAAAATTAACAGCTTGGTAAACCCCTTAAATCATTCAAACTTTTTTCCCACTCTTTCCAACTCCTGTTCACCTTCGCAAATATCCCCCTATCACCCCCATTAAAGGTGCGTTAAACCTGAGATTACGTCGCCATGACAACGTCGAATCGGGGCGTAGTTGGAGCAACCAATCGCGCGCTTTCACAGCCAACTACGTGACGTTGGTGTCCAATAGAGACCTGAACTGTATTACAGCACTGATCCGGCATATTCAGGGCGAAATTGGGCATTTAACAGACAATATGCGGTGTATTATCGGAAGGCAGTTTCGAGCGAACGCGTAAACGACGACCGGAAATTTATACAGGGGGCGAAGGGAGGTGGAGAGAGTCAAGGATTTGCCGTGTGGAGATCGAGCGGAAAACTGCGTTGTTTGGATGCTTTTTCGTTGATTTATTTGTTTACTCATAAGCGCCTTATTCATATTTTATTAATTTGAGAATATGTTCGAAGGCGGATTGGGATGTTTATGGATGGTGTGGAGGAAAAATTGCAGTTCGTATTGTACAATATACCTATCAGCACATTTTATTAAATATATAATTTCGTAATTAATTAAATTGATTTTGAGTTGATGAAGTCATCTAAAACGCCTGATAAGTAAATTTTATTTAATCTTATCAGATAATATATTTGTACCTACAGCGTGTTTCACGGCTGACAATGAGCCCGACGGAATTGGGAATGCAACCTAGAATACACGATCTCCACAGGATTCGTAGATGTAGGTATTTGCTATTTATGGAAAACCCAATTCGATACTAAATTAGATTGAAGTCTATAAATAAAATTAAATAATAAGCATTGTTGACCTAAATGACATAATATTGTAGCAATACGCAGGAACAGGTAACAAGGAATTAATCTGGGACACAAACGCATGACTTTAATGTTTACCATATTTTCAGCGCGAAATGTTATAATACAGGCTGGTTCCGAAATATATACAATAATTGTAACCACGGCATCACGTACCGTAGTAATGTGTAAATACATATATAAAAAATTGGTCTAAAGAATTTAGACAGTACTTCTCTCCCTGTCGGAAACGTGACGACGGCATGCCTATTATGTTTTTTTTTTCTCATTACTTTTTAGAAGCAGAGCATTTTAAAAAATTTTTGCGATGACGTCATCAGCATTTTTGCAAGGACATCTATATCAGTTTGGATAGATGTAGTGTAATAGTAAAAACACAATAAGGCTAGGCGGTTGAAACTTACGCGCTGCGTATGGACTACGGCAGACCAGTGGCTCGCAACCGATGTTTACGCATCCCGAGTAAAATTATAGTAGAAACGTTTCTCTTGTAAACAATAAAATTTTACAATGTCATTACGAGGGGTTGGCTAAGCTGTTCACTCACTGAGTGTCCCACCGTCTTGGCATGCGCCGCTATTGTTCAACCAGAAGAAGGGTAGCTAAGAACCGCTCGGGTTACTGATCTTCCACTTGTCCGATTTTCAAATTACAATTTATGATGGATATGAACCGCTGTGAAGTTAACTGGCTTAAACCATCATAAAATTTTATTGTATACAACAGGAACGTTGTCACTGTATGAGAAAACTAACGTTAACTAAACGTCAGTTGATGGTTTTAAAATCCCTATCCACGACTTAATAATAATAATATTAATAATATTTTTAATAATTTTTAAGTGTCGGTCTCGCTGAAAATAAAACTATTTCTGTAAATTATTAAAAATGATGCACAATTTGAAACCAAGAATGCACCGACCGCACTTCAGACGGGTTGATAGGATGTATAAATTTTGACCGCCCAGTTTTATTTATAAACAACGTAAAACGCATCTGTGCGTGATGTTCGACGTCCCGCATGCTGTTGAATGCGCCAAGGTCATCAAAAAAGGTTATGACTGCAACAAATTTATTTACAGCACATTATCAACGGGAATACATTACATCGGAAGAATGTCACGTCGACATTTGTTTGTTTGAATGAGTTTATCGCCCCAAAACAGATGACTAAAATTATTCATAAGCTTCCATTGAACAAAATATTCTGAATGTTTCCATAAAATGGGGTAGTTCGTTTTTTATTGGATCAATAATAAATTGACTGATTCATTAATTTTTTTGAGTCACCGTTTAAGCAAATCTAAAATATGCATGCAATAATGATCAAAAGTCTGTTCATATTTTGCATATTTGGGAAATAATTTATTCGGCAAAATTTTGAGATGCCTTAATCAATTTTTTGGGGTTGATAACCAGATACATTTTCATTAAAAAGTTACCATGCTTACAATAACTGGAAAACGTCACGATTTCAAAGTATTCAGTTTTACAATTCTTGATTTAATCAATAAAATAAATTGAATCAGTCATTAATTTTTTTCATACACCCCGTATATAAGCAAATCTAAAAAATATTTATGCAGTGATAAATCACAATTATAGATCTCATCATACTTTGCACAATGCACATAATAAGCAAGAAATTCTGATTTAATTTTTTCTGTACATACTTAATTCAGGTTAATATTTTATGATGTTTATCTAATAAAGCCATGATTACACGTCTCATATATTTCTGGAAAAAACGATAATATTTGCATCAAAATTGTAAACATCAAAAATTACTTCAGTGAAGCAAAATAATTTTAAATAATACCCCCGCCCGCCCACCCTCTCTTTTCTTAGAAAGTATGTCATATGCCAAAATCAGTTTAACCTTAGAAGGCACTAGCCCCGCCCACCCGCCCTCTCTGTTCTTAGAGAATATCTCATTTGCCAAAATCAGTCTTATGTTAACAGATATTAGCCCCACCCACCCACCCTGTTTTTTCTTAGAAAGTATGTTATTTGCCAAAATCAGTTTAATCTTGGCAGATACTAGCCCCGCCCACCCACCCTCTCTTTTCTTACAGGTTATCTCATTTGCCAAAATCAGTTTTATTTTAGAAGGTAATGATGATTAACTCTAACCCTATCTCAATTGTGATGATTATTTTAATCCTTAGAAACTTAAAACACATTTAAAACGGTAAATTTTTGTACGGAAATATGAATTTTCCAATTAGGCTCCGCCTCTAGGTCTGCCAACCAATGAAGACGTCATTACTATTTAAATCAGGGCGGGTATTGGTGGGGCTGAATCTTTGGCTTTAATTTTTTCTTAACACATATACAATTGTATGTATACAAATTTCATTCGAGATACACCCACATAAAACTTTATGACAGATAATTAGTGAAACCCCTGCACAATGGCAACAGTAATTTATTGCTTTTAACACCCAATGCGACCAGATATCGGCACGTTCCGGCCGAATTTTTCAGGGCCGTACTCTGTTAAAAAAAATAAGGTGAAATAATAGTTAAATTGTATTAGTTAAATAATATTTATAAGATTATAAGTCGCTATAACGACCAACAAGTAAGACGTGAAATCAGTTATTGGAATGAAGACTAATTCAAATCTACCCAAAGTACTTTGGGAATTTGAGTAAACAATTTCATTACCGAAAGCACGTAAAACTTTGAACTCAACCCAAATACGGCTCTGTATAAAATGACCTGTCAAGCCCTTTTCATAATTTATGGTTGCGGTTTCAGGAGCACCGCTTTTTGAGTGATTGGTGCCATAAAAATTTATGTGGGTGTATCTCGAATGCGGTTACTATACATAGTATTCTTTGAATAACACGATACTCAAACAAATGTCTTACATGGTAGTTTCTTGTAGAGAAATAGTAAGAATTTTGCATTTAAATTTAAAAAAAAATCTCGACAATTAATAAAAATAAACACAATTGAAACAGGGCGGATGGGCGGGGCTTATATTTTACCTTATTTTTCTTAGTATAGATAGCCATTTTTTCATGACAAAAAAACTGAAAACAAGTTTAAAATTGTAAATTCTTGTAGACAAATATGGATCTTGCACTTAAGCCCCCCCCTCGATTTGACGACAAATGAAAAATGCATCACAATCGAAAATTGAGAACGAGGCGGGTATGGGTGGGGCCTAATCTTTGGCTTTACTTTTTTCTTAATATACGGAGTATTTTTTGAACAACACGATACTCAAAAATATCTTTTTA